AGCCTCCTCTGATGACCTCACTGGATCTCGTGGTTTTAGATGCCATTCACAGGCACCTCTGGAATTAGTAGCCCACGGCCATCTTCCCTGTGGCCCACAGTCACTCGGAAAGGTGACCTCCAACACTAGCAGTGTGAACCAGGCTGGCTGACTGGACCAAGCAGGCTTCTCCCTCAGAATGGCACCAGTAGCCGGTGAGCTAGAGGCCAGAGTCAGAACTCAGAGCCACACTGCTTCCTCTCTCCCTCCAACCCACCAGCAAGTGCCAGTTCTGGCTCTAGAACCTTCTTTACACCTTCCAGCTTCTCTCCTGTACCTGTACCGGCTCAGCCCAGGTGATGTCGCTCTCAAAAAGATAGCTCCAGCCTTTCTTTCCCTTCTCATTAGAACAGAGTGATGCATGCTGGTAACCCCAACACTCAGGAAAGCAGGAGGATCATAAGTTCAAGGTCATCCTCAGCTACCTAGTGAGATTCAGGTCATACAGAGGTACATGAGATCTCTCTCTCAAAAAAAAAAATCCCCAGTAGCTTTGCCGATATCATTTACATGCCACAAAATCTATCCATTTGCTGTGCATAATTAATATTTTTAGTGTATTTATAGTCATTCTGCCATCACCCTCATCTAATTTTAGAATACAAAAACAAAACAAAATGAAACAAAAAATGTCCCCATTAGGAGTCACACACATCCTCCCACCCCAGGACACAGCACCCCCCTTCTCCACTCTGTCTTCATGGGTCTGCCCACTCTGGACATTTCCTGTTAATGGACTCTAACGCTTGTGGCCTCTGCATCTGGCTACATTCCCTAAGGCTTAGCTACGCTGTCATTTGCATTCAACTGTGAAAACCGGGTTGTTTCTTCTCTTTGGGCTAGTACAAGGGTTGTTGTGTCGAGCTTTCCTGAGTTTGTGTGTTTGGTTGTTTGGTTTGTTTTTCAAGACAGTGTTTCTCCATGTTGCCTTGACTATACTGGAACTCGCTCTGTAGATCAGGCTGGTCTTGAACTCTACCTGCCTCTGACTCCCAAGGGCTGGGATTAAAGGTGAGTGCCACCACCTGACTTTGTTTCTTTTTGGTTTTGTTTTTTTCTTTAAGTCACAGCCGACCATCATAGGGCATGCTTTGCCATCCAGTTCTCAGGACACTGAGTCACAGCAGAAGGCCAACGCAGTCTGCATAATGAGACTCATTTCAGGAGGAAATAACAAGCTCATCCGGCATGATGATGCACACCATAATCCCAGCACTCAGGAGGCAGAGCCAAGAGGACCAGGAGTGAGTTCAAGGTCATCCTAGGTCACATGGCAAGTTAGAGGCCAGTTTGGGATACGCGACACCCTGCCTTAGAGATGTTGTGGGGGAGAGTATGTATGCTTGGAAGGAAACTTGTGGCCATAGCCTGCAAGAGTCTTGATGTCCCCAGGTCCACCTGCTGCTGCTACTCTCCCCACCAGTCACGCTGCCTTCTTTGATCTTTTGTTTGCGTTTATTTTGAGATGCATTTGTTTTTATTTTATGTGTATAGGTGTTTTACCTGCATGTGTATTTTATGCACTATGGGCGTGCAGTGCCCGCAGAGGGCAGGAGGCATCATCAGATCCCCAGAAACTGAAGTTACAGATGGTTGTGAGCTGCCCTGTGGGTGCTGGGAATCAAACCCCGATCCTCTGCAAAAGCAGTCAATTGGTCTGAACCTCTGAGCCATCTCTCCAGCTCTTTAGTTCTTGAACACACCACACAATCTCCACCTCGGAGCCTCCACATTTGCTTGAATGTTCTTCCCGCAGCGGACAGCTTCATCCCATCCAGGCTGCCATGTTGAGGTTGTCCACCCTGCCCGCGTCACTGTACCCAGGTCTTATTTTACTTGCTCCACCAGGACAACCATTACCTAAGCTCAGCTCGATGTGTCAGTTCTCTGCTCCTGCTGGATCATCTCCTCTGACGGAGGAGCACCTTGTATCCCCCTGCTCCAGGGATGCTCGCACTATTCTTGCCTCGGCCCCGGAAGCCCCAGTTTCCCCAGGCAGCACTGTTCTCTCATATGCTGCTCTTACCACTGCTGCCAAGATGACAGAGGTGGAGTTTGAGTAAAAACTTGCTTTCCAGGGCCCCAGATGACGGAAAAGAAACAAATGGCCCTCCCTGGCTTGCTGTCACAGACCTAGGGGAAAGCAGGAGGGAGCAGCAGCGCCCCCTGCAGGAGCTGCGGTTTCTTTGGTGCTAACACACCAAGGAGTGGGGAACAGGAAGCTGCCAGAGGATAGTGTATGTGTGTGTGTGTGTCATAGAGAGAGAGGGAGAGGGAGAAACATGAAGTATCACAGAAAGCACAGAAAGGCAGGCCAGGGCACAGAAAACCCCCAATGCTTGCTTTAAGTACCGCAGCCTGGTCAGGCCCCACCTGAGCTTTAAGAAACCCGTACCCCTCATTCCCAACCCCCACCCCTGCACGGGCAGCAGGGGATCTACGCCTTTAACAAAAACCCGGTGAGATAAATAAAGGGAGCCTGGCAAATTCATCTCCCCTGCTTTGTTTCCCGGGTGCCTGCCTCATCAATCTTCCCTCCTAACCTGCTCTGCCCTCTGTTAGCTGTGCTTCTGCAGAGAACAGAATTTGGTTTTCTAATGGCATCTGTTTTATGTGGGGTGTCCCCAAACATTAGCTGTAATGAGTTGGAAGTGGCACAGTTAGGAGCTTGGGACATCAACAGCAGATGTCGGGCCCTCCGCGTCCTCTGAGGATGTGCAGTCAGAGCACAGGCCAAGGCTAAGCCAGGCCCACAGCCCTGGAACATTCCAGGAAGCCACCTATGCAGTGGACACTGTGGAGTGCCCACCTCTGGAAGGCATGAATGGGTGCTGGAAAGGCAAGGCCCTGCCTTCGTGGCACGGTGGCAACTAGGAACCAAAGTGCTACAGAATAGCAGCAAAGTCAGGTTGTGCTCACCTCATTCACTGAATCTGGAAGCGGACTGTTATCTAGGGTTGCTGGCTGGTGAGCTCGGGGTTCACCCACCACCCTCCCAGTGCCTGTGTGCCCAGCACTGGGATACAGGTAGGTCCTACGCTGACTTTTTACGTGATTGCTGGGGAATCTGATCTCAGGACCCTATGGCTGTGCAGGCCACCAAGAGCCCACTGAGTCATCTCTTCAGCCCCCAGGCAAGCTCAATAAATAGCCTAGGAACAAAAGAAGACAACATCATGAAGCAGCCGACCTAGCACACCATGGCCTGGACTCCGTTAGTGCACGCAGCCCAAGGGGCGCTGGCACATGGGAGTTGGGAGTGGTCTCCAAAGGCTGCACCTCTTTCCTGTAGACCGAGTGGTGTCTAGAATCCAGGCCCAATGCTCTATGGGAAAGAGTAGTCACCTTGGGGCCTTGGAGCCGGATATCATTAAAGGAAGCCTGACAGGAAGTAGGACTCGTGGGGCTGGACCAATAGGGAACCATTTCCTCCAATTGGATCCCTTCTTTTCCTAATGCCCTGCCCTGAGCATGCCCAGTGTTCTCCAGAAAAAGCGTTATTCCCCGTGTGAGCCAGATCCAGTTGGTAACTACGAACACTACACCACCTGCCGAGCTTACAGTCCCAGCAGCCTTTGCCTCCCTCTCTCCACGAAGCCGAGACCCTCCACACACGGGAGGAAACCTTGACCCCGGCTGTGAAGGTCCGGGATCATCACCTGTACATGATAAAGAGCAAACTGAATAAGGGCGCTTCAGCTGGACCGGGAAGGGGAGGTGCGGACTTCATCATTGGCCATTTATGCCTGAAAACTTGTTCAGTTATATTTTGTTCTGGTATTATAAAGTGGATCGTGGAAACCTGGTTCTGTGAGTGTGGTGTGTGGGTGTGTGTTTTCACACGCGTGTGCACACATAGGCCAGAGGTTGATGTCACAAGTCTTCCTCTATCACTCCACCATATTTTTTGAGACAGGGTCTCTCACTGAAGCGGGAGCCTGCCTGTTTCGCTAAGCTGACTGGCCAGCAAGTCCCAGGGATCTTCCCGTCTCTGCCTTCCTATGTTACAGGTAGATGTGTGCGGGCGCATTTGTTTTTTCACATGGGGGCCGGGGGTCCGAACTCACATCCTTAAGCTTGTGCCATCTCCCCAGTCTCCGTGAGTCCTCTTGAGCCCCAACGGATATTTTAGATCATGATTTCAACAGCAGTCTTCAAAATGGCATCCACGTTTTGCAAAAGTAACGGAAACCTAGATGGAAGGGAGGAAGAAAGGGAAAGATGACCCGGTGTTTGTGCAGGGGTGAGGGTGATCATACTTGAAGGTTCGGGAGACAGAGACAGGAGGACCATTGCAAGTTTAAGGCCAGCTTGGACAGCGCAGCAAGTTCCAGGCTAGGCTGAGCTACAGAGTAGAAGGCTGTCTAAAACAATTTAATTTTTTCCCTTTTTTTTTTTCTTCCTTTTTTTTTTTTTTAAATGAGAGGTGAGGTAAGGACAGAGGGCCCGTGGGCCGGCTGAAACGGCGCCGCGCCCTCCCTCGGGGCCTCCCTCTTCCCCTGGGCATAGCCCGGCCGGCAGAGTGGGCCCGGCTGACGCCCTCCCTCCCGGCTCC